GTTTGTGGGGGTTTTGTTGTGGGTTTTTATTTTTCTTCTTGTAATCAGGAAGCAAGATCGGGGCTGTATGAGAGTATCCCAGTTGTATTGGCTCAGGCATCAGAAATGATGAATGAGAGAATATATGTCTGGAATTGCTTGGGAATGCTTTATACAGAGTGAAATAATTTGGAAGATTGGAACATGGCAAGTTATTGCTAACCCAAACTGGCATTTACTGACATCTTTATGATACTCTAAAAGAGAGTGGAAGGCAGACTATGTCAGCCTCTCACAGACAGCAGGGACTCCTGTATAATGCTGTGTATAGCAAACATTGGCATATGCATCATAACATACATTCCACTGCAGAACTTGGAATAAAATGTTTTCGCATTTGTTTTAAAATGCTTAGGTGGGTGTATCAGACATCAGTTGCTTTCAAGTGTTTCTGCTGTAATCTATACTAAAATTAACAATTGCATCAATATACAACTAGATATGAGCCACGATGGCGCAGTGGTTAGAATGCAGTACTGCAGGCTACTTCTGCGGACTGCCGACTGCCTGCAATTTGGCAGTTTGATTCTCACCGGCTCAAGGTGAGAATCTCTCCAGCTTTCTGAGGTCAGTAAAATGAGGACTCAGATTGTTGGGGGCAATATGTTGACTCTGTAAACCACTTAGAGAGGGCTATAAAGCACTGGGAAGTGGTACAGAAATGCTATTACTATTGCTATACATCAATACAATATATGCAACCATTTGAAGTTACTATGGCACTGGGGAAAAATGACTTATGACCAGTCCTCAGAACTATCACAGCATCCCCATGGTTGTGTGATCAAAATTCAGGTCCTTGGCAATCCACATGTATTTATGATAGTTGCAGCATTCTGAATCAGTGATCACCATTTGCAATCTTCCCAACTGGCTTTTGACAACCTGTCAATGGGAGAAGCCAGAATCACTTAATGGCCGCATGATTCACTTAGCAGTTGCAGTGATTCACTGAACAAGCATGGCAAAAAAAAGTCATCAAATTGGGCACCTTTTACTTAACAACTGCTTTGCTCAGCAATAGAATTCTGGTTACAGTTATGGTCATATGTCAAGGGTTACTTGAATAAAGCAAATGATATTCTTTTACTTAGAGAAAGAATTATGCCCAAATGTAAGCAATGGATACAGACTTTCTGAATTCATATAGAAGCTATATACTGGTGCAGGCTTGAAGTATACTTAGCAACTCAGTATTACAACTTTCTAGTAAATAGTCAGCTCTTCTCTTTTTTTCATTCTGCTTCTCTCTCTGTCTCCTCTAGTTTTAAAGTTTAAAATACTCTTAAAATGTTCTTATGTAACTAATACAGCTGTGCCAACCACAGTTGATAGCACAGTATGACAGAAATGCTATCAGTATCCTACCTCATTCCTGTTAAAATTGCTGAATTTTCACTGAATGCTTGAAGCCAAAATATAATCCAATATAACAGCAACATAATATATCAAGCATGAGCTCCTCAGTTCTCCCATAATATATATAGGAGTTGCCTTTCTTTTTTTTTCTTTTTTTAAAATTAGGGAGATAGATAGATAGATAGATAGATAGATAGATAGATAGATAGATAGATAGATAGATAGATTTAAAAGAATTGAATTGAGTTAGTTGAGTCTTCAGGCCTTGACAGGCCTCATTATTTAGAAAGGAACAGTAGAATTAATTCATTTGGAAGTTATCCAGGGTTATGGGTGGACACTTTCTTGTAGTTCATCATAATAATAAAAGAATTTGGCATATTTTGAAACTATGGATTAAAGCAATCTTCCCATTATGTTGAAAAAGTTTATTTTTAAATTCAAATTCCAAGTTCCCCTGAAAAATAATAAACAGTTTCATATAAGACTATTTGGCAGACTGGGAGAAGCTGAAATCAAAACATGATCTCACCCTGACTAAAAGAAGTTGCATAACACCATACTTTTCATGCTGTACAAGGAACTTTATAGTCTGCTTGGTTGGCTGTCAGCCATATTGTCTTTTCTTCTTATCCAAAACTATTCGTATAACTGCTGCCATCTTCTGGGCCAATTGAGGAGCATATATAGATATATAGATATAGATAGATAGATAGATAGATAGATAGATAGATAGATAGATAGATAGATAGATAGATAGATAGAATATCTTGATATATATTGATCAGCACTGGCAATATATTTATACTTCACAAAAGCAGAATAGATAAGTAGTCAATTGATTCAACATTCCCAAGTGGAAAGGATTATAGTCATTTGGAACTAGTTCATAATTCTTTTCAGTTTTATTGTGAAAAATGCAAAGAAACCCGCAATTAGCAGCAAAGGGCTGTCTAGCTAGACCTACTGATTAGTAACTTGTACAAAGTGCAGGAAAGGATATATCTTGCTGGAATTAATTCAGTATGTAGAACTAACATCTGCATTTGGATGAGTATCAGGATCCAGATTCAAGATTCCAGATATGAACTCCATTACCTGATTCTGCAGTTCATCAACCTGTTTCATACATGAATGGAGATGCAATGGGGAGATGCAGAAAGTCTAATGAAACCAAAACATAACAAATCATTCTTTTAATACAGGGAATAGCCTTTCTGGAATGCTGTGAAATCCTTGAAGTAGAAGCTCAGGAAGCAGATGGGGGAAACAGATTATTTAAATGTAGAACAGGAATTCATATATTGTGGAGAGCTTTCTTTGGTTGCCAGACAGGTTCTGAACTCCATCAGGAAATTCTCTTAATATAGTTTCCACATGTGGAATATCCCTTTATATCAAAAGCAGACGTGCAGGGAAAACTTTGATATATATTTGAGAGTCTCCATTTGTGCAGTAAGATACAGAAATGAATTGGAGGATTGCATAGAGTTTTAAACCTTACTTAAAATAAAATACTACATTCAAGATGTATCAAGTGCATGGATTTGCTTTACTATGGATTTGCTGCTTGTCTAGTCTAGAATTGTCTGCAGACTGATAGAAGCTCTTTGGGAATTTATCAAAGCTTTGATTCTTTCTTATGCTTTGCTACCAGATATTTTTAAATGAAGATAACCAAGCATGCAGATTGCCAGAGTTGGCAGAACATGATACTTTGTACCTTTATCGCACTGTCTGCATAAGAATACTATGGTTGGTAGTATTGCCAGAATAACTGTCCAAGTAATTTTGTTCAGAAGCTTGTCATTGATATCTTGGTTCTGAAACAGAAACAAAGAAAATATATTGTTCATTCATTTATATAGATGTTGGTGCATAACCGTTTGGGTGCAGAAGAGGATATAATACATATCCAGTTTCATAAGATCCATGAACTACATCTATCCAGCTGATGAAATGAGCAAAACTTAGTTAGAAACCATAGCATATTTATAATAAAATTATAAGTGGAAAAAAAAATCTTTACTAGCAGATCCAGTTTACATAGGAAAAATGCACTTGGATGATAGTGGGCTATTCCTTATGGTTAGGTTAGTGTCATATACCAGTTCTTTTTAAAAATAACTTTTATTAACTTTTATCAGAATATAAAAATACAGAGAAAAAATTATACTTAGAAAACAAAGACAAAGAAAAAGTTCAGAAAGAGGAAAAAATGTGATTTCTGAATTTTTTTTCAGGGTAATAAAATATAAATACAATACAACCTCAAATTTTTGCTTTACAGATCACGTCAAGCTATTTATAAAATAATAAAACCATTTTAATTATCAAAACCTAAAATCCAGGTTTCACTTTTTTCCATTTTAAGCAAAAAATCAGTTTTCAAGTAGAAACAAAACAGATAAGTTCTTTTCTTTAATTAAAACAGCCAGTTTCCCCATGTCTACTAACTCCATCACTTTTATCATGTACTCTTCCATTGTAAGAATTAGTGCTCTTTACATCTTTAGACAAATAAGATTCTTGCTGATGTCAATATATATAATAACAAAGTTCCAAAAATTTTTTCCAGTTTTTTGTCCATCAATCTTCAAAAGAAAACTTCTAATTTCAATTTTATATTTTTTTAAGAATCTTCTGAATTAAAATAAGAACCTGGTCTCAGTATTGGTACCACCCACCAGTTTTTGGATGGAGCAGGCAGGAAAATATGTCAGATTAAAATTTACTGTCCCATTTATGATTTCTATTCAGGCTCAATGAAAGCAAAGGTTCTATATTTTATGTGGCTGCATCCAAGGCAGGATCTATTTCATACCATGGCTAGATGAAGTGGGGGAAAACCTTACATGTCCCAGGTTATTCAAACTGTAATTTATTGCCATATCAATGGAAGAGGTCTTTGCAGTCTTTTACCCAGTTCTGCCTCTTGAGCCATGCAACACTGACCATTCCTCTGGAAGAGTTTCAGCTCTAGCAGTTTCCCCTGGTACTGATGCCCCAATATCCCCGGTATATAGTAACATGCAGACTTAGGAACCATGCAGACTTAGGTAAGTTTAAACTTCAGACTTAATGATCTCATGGAACAGGTTCTATAGATCAGTATTTCTCAACCTTGGTAAATTTAAGATATGTGAACTTCATGCTGGTTGGGAGATTCAGGAAATCAACCCATTGTATATATGTTTAAGTTGAAACCTATGGCTTTAGATGGTCATATGCATGACTCCATTTATTTCAACATGGGGCAAACCAGTTCTGATAGTGTTTGAAAGCCTTCTTTAGTTGAGTGAGACCTTAGGCTTAATGTTATGCCATGGTGGCTTTGCTGTTAAGAAGCTGTCTTTCTCATGTTATACATTTATTCGGGCCAATGCCATATGGGAATGCTAAAAAATGGTAGAAAACCCATTGATTCCTTTTCCACTCCAGCACAGTGCTGTTGCTATTTAATGCCAATCACTGCATGTAAGTCAATGCAGTAGCTATCAGACGAACTATTCTAACTATGTTAGAATTATCTTTAGTTACATTTTTGAAAAGAAGTTAAAGTACAGTAATAATTTCACAAATCACATCTTGTTTTCTTGCAGCCATCCATTATTCCATTACTGAAGAACTTCCAGCATATGGTTTCAACTGTGGATTTGGCTACAGTTCTCAAAAGACAATCTGTCGCTGGGAACATGATGCGCAGCTGGACTTGAGATGGGCAGTACTCACCAGCAAAACAGGGCCCATTCAGGACCACACAGGTAAAGTAGGATTAACAACTGATCCAGTGACAAATGGGGAAAAATAAATATTGTGTTTAAAATAAAAGATCTGCCAGGACTAACATTTACAGATAGTCCTTGATTTACAACCAGTTACTTAGTAACCGTCTGAACTTACAACAGATCCAAAATAGGACTTAAAATCCAGGTACAAAGTTCCATTGATCGCCCTCCTCCATCAGGCACATGATTGCACTTCAAGCATGCAGCAACACAATCATTTGCAGCATCCCACAGTCACATAACCACCCTTCATGACGGTTTTGCTGAAAACCAGACCTTCCAGTTTCAGCAAAACCAAACCATAGCAAACAATAGGTTCACTTAAACAGCTGACGCATTTGCTTTATGACTGCTGTGTTCGCTTAACAACTGCTGCAAAAAGGTTGTAAAATCGGGTGAGTCATGTGACTGACTAGTTTGATAACTTACGACTTTTGGGCAGGCCCCATTACAGTTGTACCTTGTATCTGTATGTCAATTCTGCTTTGCTTTGATAAAAACAATGGTGCCATTTCAAATCCTGTCCTAGAATTACTAGATTTAATTACTGTGCATAGTTAACCTGGTTTTTTTAAGTGTATGACTATTTTCTTAAACTTGCATGATCACTTAATTTCAGCTACTTACTTCTAAAGGTGTTTTTAGAAGCTTTGTTATCAGGTGGAAATCTTCATATATTTCATAAATAAACCCTCATATATTTCATAAATATTTCACAAGAAGAGTCCTCCACTCTTCTGCTCGCAACAAAATACCTTATGCCACCAGACTTGAGATTCTAGACTTAGAAAACTTAGAACTACGCCACCTTCGGAATGACCTAAGTGTGGCTCATAAAATTATCTGCCACAATGTCCTACCTGTCAATGACTACTTCAGCTTCAACCACAACAATACACAAGCACACAATAGATACAAACTTAAAGTGAACCGCTCCAAACTCAATTGCAGAAAATATGACTTCAGCAACAGAGTGGCCAATGCCTGGAATGCACTACCTGATTCTGTGGTTTCATCCCAAAAACCCCAAAATTTTAACCTAAGACTGTCTACTGTTGACCTCACCCCATTCCTAAGAGGTCTGTAAAGAGCGTGCATAAGAGCACCAGTGTGCCTACCGTCCCTGTCCTAATGTTCCCTTTATTGGTATTCATTTTATGTGTCCAATTCATGCTTATACTGATATATATTATCTAAAACGTACTTGACAAATAAATAAATATAGTGAGATTTTAGGCCTTCTAACTTTCTGTTCTTCTGAGGGCAGAAACCTTTTGAACAAAGGGTGACATTGTGACCCATGTTTCAATTATTCATTTTCTTTTTTCATTTATGTAAATATCAGAAGTACTAGCAATGAACCTTCCTTACCCATTTCCATTTTCTACCCCCATCCCCATTTTACTTAATGAGAATGACAAGGAAATTGGGCTCCTTAAATTTAGAGACAGTTCAATTGAATTTTGAGACAAGTCGGTTTAGTTTTTAAGGGATAGGAAAAAAACTTTAAATACTTTGACTATGAATGGCACAGTACAAATAAACGGCATCAAATTAAGCAAAAGGCAGTTAGCTGAAACGAAGGCTGTAATAATGAGAAAAATTGATGCTAAGTAAAATGAAATGACTCAGTGAGAACTGACATTGAAGGGAGGTTAAAAGCCACGTTAGCCAAGGACTGACAGAATCTAAAAGGCATGCATACGTTCAGCTGTAATTAAGACAAAAAAGGCAGAGTTCTTGACCCAGAATTGCAATAATATTCTTGAAATGAAAAATATTTGAACTTTGCCATGAGTGTCTAGAGACAAGCACGACTTGTCCTCTCACTGAAGGGTTGTGGAGGGGGAATTATATATCTTAAATGAGATTTTGTTAGGAACAGATATTCAATGCTTTCCACATTTCTAAACCATAATCTGAAAACAGATGCACAAGGAGTTTTACACACATACACACACACACATACACACACACACACACACCCTATATACCTGATATCCTCTTTTTTTTTTTTTTGCTTAACTATCTTCAGCTTCATGGTGCCGCTACGTAAAAGAACAAGTCAATTGCTATTTCTGCACCTCTTTACATAGAATAGCCATTTGACATTTTCTCTCTTGAAAAATGGTTTGATTATATATGGAAATGAATAAATGAATTGGTTGATTAGCAAAGAGCTGTGAAAGCTCATTCCCAAAACTGCAGGCTGGAATGCAGAGAGACAAAAGTGGAGTGGAAAATCTACCCTCACATCTAAATCCCATCAAATATAACTGAGCCGGAATATACACCAACAACAGTTAAAGTATCTCTTTAAGGCCTGGAAATATACCAGGTAGCCATGATCCCTCCTGCCTATTCCTAACCTATCCAAACCATTGGTTCTTTTGATTTGGGCTGGTGAAAAAAAAAGAAGTATGGTGGCTCGGATGGTTAGGATGCTGGGTTAGCAATCAGCAAGCTGGCATCTGAGACCCATATCTTGCTGTGTGGCGGATGAGCTCCTGTCATTCGCTCCAGCTCTTGCCGAACAAGCAGTTTGAAAGCATGCAATTGCAAGTACCTCTTTGGTGAGCAGATTAACAGGGACATGAAAGGAGCTGCCAACCGGGCAACCCCAGGGCAACGGTGATGTCTCTGGCTAACCCTTTCAACCCAGAAGCGCCTGGATGCTTCTGATCCAAACACAAGTGCAAAGAGAAATTCTGTGCATTACACAGCAAATGGAAGGAGGATGTTGATGAAGATGGGATTTTTGTACTTCCCCATATGCCTGGGGTGATCCAAAGACATGAATTTGTGTTCTGGTGGCAACATTAACGATAACTTCCATGGTTTCCCTTGCTTTAAAGTACAGACAAAGCTATGGCTAAAGTATTCTTCAGTCCACATTTGGAAGCAAACTAATCACTTTCCAAAGTAATGTGAGAGGGATAATTATCTGCTCTTCTACTTGTTTAATGTAGCTTCCCATTCAGTAACTTACTACAGCTCCATGCAAAGAGTATATTTTATGACAAATTGCATTTCAAATACGTACATATTTTATAAGTGTTCTACTATACAGCACAAGAAATACATACAGCACAAATGAAAACTGAATGGGATGAATTGATCTGAGCAGAAACACATCTTAATATCTCCACTCTTACTACCCAGCATATTGTTTCTTAAGAATTTCTCCATGCTGTTACTAAAATGATGCCTTACATTTAGAAAATCAGGAATGTTCGTGCCTTAGTGAATTTCAGTTTGTTGGAAGAGGAAGGTGAGACAGGCATACCCATACATGCCAAGATATTTCTCAATAAGCTTTTCAGTTGCAGCTCCTTAGAAAAAGCCTATTCGTGTTGTAATGCTTGAAGTTTATCAGATTAAAGGGAGTCAAAACTTGGTCATTGTGTCTAATGAAGTGTTTTGTCACAATAGGAGATGGCAATTTTATTTATTCCCAAGCTGATGAAAACCAGAAAGGCAAAATTGTCCGCCTCATCAGCCCTATCATCAACCTGCAAAATTATGCCCTTTGCATGACTTTCTGGTATCATATATCGGGCCCTCATGTCGGCACACTAAGAATCAAACTGCGGTACCAGATCCCTAAAGAATACGATCGGGTCTTATGGACACCAAATGGAAATCAGGGAAACTGCTGGAAGGAAGGCCGGGTTTTTCTGCACAAATCTGTGAAACATTATCAGGTAGGCCAAGAAATTTAAGCATAAAAGGGGGCTGGGTCAATAGCATTCCATGCATTGTGCATGACTGAATCCCCACGTTAAGTTACCTTTCGTGGGGAGAAATGCTATAGGGATAAAACAAGAACTAGAGCAACAGAGACCTGAGTTTCATTAAGATACCAATGCAGTGAGCACAGGATCCCAGCCAAAGCAAAATGGGACCCTTGAGCTTAGGTGAGTGAGGTTTATTTAGAAACAGACAAAAAATATGCTAGATCAAAAGGATAGCAGTAGTCTTCCTCCTCCTCTTCTCCTCCTCCTCCTCCACTTCTTCTCCTCCTCCTCCTCATCTTCCTCCCTGCTTTCCCATCCTTCTTCCCCCATATCCTTCTCCTCTTTTTTTTACTGCACTGCTGAGAATACAATTCAGACTTCTAAACTTCAGTTTAGAAAAGTAAATCTCAGTGGTAATTGGTTTAAGTGTTGAAGTGGTTGAAGTGAACCTCCTGCATGCAAAACAAAAGGTCTCTAGCTATAATGATATGTAAGAATGAGTTTGGAAAAAGTGGGGGGGAAATAAATGCTGTCTTGGAAACAGCCAGATAAGAAAGGGCATAGCCCACAGCTGCATAATGAGCAGAGAAAGAGGTTCAGCAGGGACACACACAAACACACACACACATACACACACACACACACACACACACACACCCCACAAGTTCTTAGGCTGCAAAAGAGACAAGGTGAGATTTGTACTTTCAGACTTGCAAGATTCTGTTAACACAACCTTATAATAACATAGAATTGGTCATGTTTCTTGTCTGGTCTGCCTAGAAAGGCTGACACCTGCTGATCTCCTGCATTCCTTTCCATAATACATACTTCACCTGCTCCTTCCTTCATGCCCATTGGAGTCCTGGTGGAGGGACCCATTGCTGTTGCCATAAGTCTGAATCAATTATTTGCAAAGCGCATTTGTAATTAAACATAGATCCTCAGGTTTCCCTAAATCCATAGGTTGACTACCCCTGTCTTAAAAGGATCTCAGGAGTGGGAAAGGCCCAAGGATCTGCTGCCAATAAAGGCTGCCAATATGGATGTTTATTTCGCTTAATATGAAACAGCTTCCCAATGTGATGCTTTCCTGGTGTGCTTGGGGGACAGCTTCCAGAGTCATGACATTCAAAAACTGTGCTGGCTAGAAATTCTGAGAGTTTCAGCATGTCTATGAAGCACTAGGTTGCAGAAGACAGACATAATCATATCATCGTATCTAATTATATTTACACAATCTGTGTTTGGGAGAAGCAAAGTCTGAATTATTCACTCCATATTAAATATGAACTTGCCATCTATACCCTATGGCATCAAATCTACAGGTGAATGCAGTTCTGCTCTCATTTTCTTTCTTATGTCGTTTGTTTTGGGAAGGGGAATCCTTTATTTGAGCCAACTTACTTATAGTTTAATACTTTATACATAAATCTACATTCATCAAAAATAAGCCAAGCAGAAATACAGAATTATAGCAATAGCTAAACATCTTAACATATTTGAAGAATCTCTTTGAAGGCCACAGGAGGCTATCTCCCAGAAGAGGGTCTTCCACTTCAGGAGACTCCTTATCACCAGCACCATCCATCAGATGGTGAGACACCTGTACTTTAATCATATTTTTCATAAGACTTTGGTTTAACCATTCTGGGTATTTTCATTTGAAGCTTGAAATAACTCTTCTTTCCACCATGATTTGTAGCTCACCTGTATATTGGGAAACCTCTTTTCTTTTCCTGATCCCTCTTCCCCTTTCACTAAAGTGGTGCTCACATTGGGACTATTCCAATTCATCATGGCCAGCTTGTTGCAGGCAAAAGTTACACTAATATCAAATAAATGATGAAATAGAATCATTAAAGAAAGGATGCAAAAGGACGGACAGAATGTGAATGGCAAAAATTAAAATATTTTTATTTTAAATAATTAAATAGAATTGTTAAATTGTGTCAGAGTGAGTTGCCAAATGGCAAACTGGCCATGGTGAGTTGTCCTGCAGTGAGTTGGCTGTGGCAAGTTGTCCCATTCCCACTCAACATTGGAGGTCAGTAAAGCTCCAGAGCTTTTATTTGTTCTTTTAACTTAAAAGAAATGGGAGGCAAGCTCATATAGGTCCCACATGTATTTTTAGTAAATAAAATAATGTGTGAGAGTATCTCAGTGTTATCTTCACACTCAGTAAAAAAAATAGAGGAAAATTAAGTTGGAGTTGCAAAAAGCACCCCAGATCACTAAGGAAAGGAATGAACAACCTCACTTTGCCTTCTGGTAAATCCCATAGCAGCCATTTTGACAGAATATCCATCAAAAATGCCCGCAATCCCAAAGGATAATTTAATCCACCACATGATAACAGAATTAAATAAAGGGGAACATATTCCTTAGTAGCGACTTCTGTAAAAATTTCTCAATATCAGTTATGTTGGGAATATGCAAACATGTAAAGATTATATTATAACTGTATGGATCTCTGAATGCTGATTTACCTCACAACAATGCAATCTGTTTTACACTTTACCCCTGAAGGTAAAATTGCACTTTCTCTGAAAGAGTTGTTTCTTCATAAAGTGATACTTTCACATGACATCTTGAGCCTTGATAGATAGCAGAAGATTGGTCTCTTCAATGTATGCTTTCTTAAAAATCCAATAACTAGTTTTTGTTCTGGCCATTAGAGTTTTAAACAGCAAAATGTAATTTATTTTCATCAGGTAATGGTGGAAGGAGAAATTGGAAAGGGAAAGGGAGGAGTTGCAGTTGATGATATTAACTTTGACAGCCACATAACACAGGAAGAATGCCGAAGTAAGTATGACTTGGTAGTAAATATAAAATTTACCATCCTGAACACTGGATTCCACCGGTGATTGTTATTGTTGTTGTTACATTTTTATTTCCACCTTTTTAATAAATACTCAAGGCAGAGATTCTATCTATAACATAAAAGTTATAGCAATTTTGTTAACAAATGTTGGATCCTATACATCAGTAGTTGATTTACCTTTATTTTTTTTTTCTTACCATGTGTTTTTCATATTTCTCTTTTGAATAAGTTATCCCAAGAACTTAGTTCTGTGCAAAAATAGGTGATTTCAGTGAGTTTAAACATGCTTGATTTGGGTAGTTTAAGTTTAAATAAGCTAAAGTAAGCTTCAAAGCTGACCTGGAGTGTGGGACACCCTAACTAAGTCTGCTTAAAATAGAAATAGGTTGACCATTCATAAAAGTATTAGTTGGTGCAGCTGTAACCAATGGTGGGTTGCTCCCGGTTCTTTAGAACTGGTAATAAAAGCAGCGGGAGGCTCTGCCCACCTGCCCAGACATCATAATTGATGATCTGCTCATGCGCAGAAGCTCACCCGCTCCCATTGCGAACCAGTAGTAAAGGTAAGTAGAACCCACCCCTGGCTGTAACCCTATAATATTAATGCCAATCCCAAAATGGACTACAACCCTTTAAATAGCTTCTTTGGCATGGACCCCCAAGATTTAACTCAAGTTTTAAATCATAAAATTTCTTCAAATCTGCCGAGAAGTCCACAGACCACAAGTTTAGAACCACTGGACAACAATAAAGTCATTCAACACTACAAAAAATAAAACAAATTAAAATTATTATAATTGAAAGTTTCAAAATAGTTTAGCCTTGAAGGTCTGAATGAAAAGATTGATACTAAACTTACTATAGGTACTTATTATACTTACCTATAGGCTAATTTTGGAATTAATTTCACATGTTTTTGGTCATTCAGATCAAAGTCTTACCAAATAAGAGTTTAAACAGCAGGTTTCTGTTCTAATATCCTTATATATGCACTGCAGTTAACATAATTATTTTTCATGGCTAAAGGATACTTATGACTGATTAATAGCATTGGTTTTCAAGATTATAAATGCAATGAATGAAACATGCTAATTTTATATGTGGATTTTCATTTCTCTGAGACAAAAATCCCCTGCTGATAGCACTAAAACTATGCCAAGCTATGGTAGAGAGAGGGCTTTTTTTTCTTCTTTGCTAATTTTGGAAAAATCAGGTTAATGAACAATTCCATCAAACCAACATAATCATGCTTAGAAAAGAAAGAAAAATTCTCAGTATCATTATTGGCAGCATGATAACCCGTCACTATTTGTCATTATAATAATCAATGTCAATTTTCTTTGCTTAACAGAATCAAATGGTGCAAGGAGTGAAATCGAGCCAGATATTAATCAAACAGGTAAAATATATATTTTAATTAAAAATTAACTTGATTTTCATGTGGATCTTAGTAACATTTGAGTTTATTTTTAACTTATGTAGATGACTGATTGTGCCGTCAACTTGATGTTGTTTCTTAGCAATCATATAGATTTTTTTTCATGACATAATCTGTCCCTAACCTGGTCCTTCAACTCTTCCAATGGTGTATGCACCACCACTGCAAGTAGGTCCATTCACCTTATATAGGTGACCCAGTCTAATAAGGTCATACAGTTATTAATAACATGCTTGTTTACCTACAGCGCTCAATATTGTTTACATGTTTTGCATTTTTTTATGAAAGAGAGGAATAACTGTAGATAATATAGTAACCAATGTAACTTACAGTGTAAGTTTTTTTAAGAGGATTGTGTCAAATTCATAAATATCCATTGCTTACATTGTTTTTACCAAAATAGCCATGTTCAAATATCTATGGGGATTCTCAGTCATCCAGGTCATGGTTGTCCAAAGATGCTTTTTCAAAAGACAACTGGACTTTGTTTTTCCTTGAAGATTATTTCAGTTCTTATCCGAGAAGTTTCTTCAGTTCTCATCCTAGAACTTCTTCAGAACCTGAACCTTCTTGGATGAGAAGCGAAATGTCTTCAAGTCCAGTTGCCTTTTAAAACAGCACTTTTGGGACAGCCATGTTCAAACATATCAACAGTTGCATGCATATCAACACTATGCATTGCATAGTGTACAATGCACTACAATGCATTGTAGTGGCCAAGAGGTATTTTCCTTACAACTGGTCTGGACAGTGGTTCTGATCATTTTAATTCAAACTTTTTATTCTTCAGGAAGAAACATTAAAAAATCTAATTGCAATCTCTCCAACTCTCCCATAATTGCATTTGAGTAAAAGGGGGACAAAAGATGAAGTGAAACAAAGCTTCCTATCACGTACTTTAAAAGTCTCCTAAATCATTTATGCAGAAGATTCTCTATCACCTAGAACTGGAATTCTTTAGCCTGAAAATACTGAACATCTGACATCAACTACTGCTAGTTCCTAAGCCTTTAGAACAAGAACTATTTCAAAGCCATCTCTGCAAGCAATCAGGGGCAGACATCTGGTAAAATTTGTGTTTTCCAGCTGCCTGCACCAGGAAGGAAGGAAGGGAGGGAGGGAGGGAGGGAGGGAAGGAAGGAAGGAAGGAAGGGAAGGAAGGAAGGAAGGAAGGAAGGAAGGAAGGAAGGAAGGAAGAAAGAAAGAAAGAAAGAAAGAAAGAAAGAAAGAAAGAAAGAAAGAAGTGACTCCATCAATTTTTAGCTTACTACTCAGGGGATGCATCTTTTAATAGGTGCCTACGCTTGCATTAGAAGTAGATGTGATTTTTATATAAAGTTCTTTACATTGATGCAGTATTGAAATCAAATATGCATGGGGGGAATATTGCTCTAAAACTGCTTTTTTAATATTTTGACTTATTCTCAGGGCATTTAAGAATTTATTATCAAAGTATTCTTTGTGATCTTTGTGAACTTACTTTGGAGAGTAAGGCAACTTTGGCAGAAAGGTTATTGTTTAGATTATACATCTTTCCATAATTTTGAAGTTGTCCTCCAATCTATATTTCCAAGTCTGAAATGACACATGAAGATGATTACAAGAGGTTAAGGGCTGCAGTTTGCTGGATAAATTACTGCATAATGAAGAATAAGATATTCTTATGGGGAGCAAATTCTATTTCACAAAATCAAATGTAGAATTTTTTTTGCAGTGCTCTATAATTTGAGTTTTACCTAGTCTTCCTGTGTCTTGAACAGGACAAAGGCAAAGATAATTTTTTTCCAGTTTTTGGAAACAGGAAAAAAGATTTCTCTGTTTCCATTGAGTGGAAACTGGAGATGAAGCATTTTCTACAACCTAGTCCATAACTCCTCTTCCAGTACAGATGTATAATGTAAAATGCAAAACCAAATATCAGCCTCTTAATTCAATGCCTAAATTTTAGGCACTATGTTTAGTGCATAAATAAGGATGAAAATATATATTCTCAGATATTATGAAATATAGCAAAACACACAAACACACACACACACACACACACACACACGTACAAGAGAAATGAAAAGGCTTTCAATTCAAAATCAGTGACCTACTTAAGTCATAAACTTACAGCATAATCAAACAATACCACTTAAGTTTGTCTATCTTCTTTTATTTATTACTGGGTCCTATTTACCCAGCTTTGACTACACTGCCATGCCATGATTTCTGTGTCTCTTTGTTCTTCTGTAGAATTTACTCCTGATTACCGTGAAAATGGGGAGCCTTATAATGACAACATCTCCCGGAAGCCAGGCAATGTGCTGAAAACACTTGACCCTATTCTTATCACCATCATCGCTATGAGTGCCCTGGGTGTGCTGCTGGGCGCCATCTGCGGGGTCATTCTGTACTGCGCCTGTTGGCACAATGGAATGTCCGATAGAAACCTATCTGCACTGGAGAACTACAATTTCGAACTTGTGGATGGTGTCAAATTAAAAAAGGATAAACTGAACACACAGAATACGTATTCAGAAGCATGAGGTAGAGAAGGAGGAGGAGGAGGAGGAGGAAGAGCTCAAACATTTCAAACAATTGAGACAGAAAGACTTATAGATCTCCCTTTTCTGTACAGGCTGAAAACTGCGTTGAAGACGCTGAGCCAAGCTTTTCTCAGGAGCTTCAGTGGGTGTACCAGATATTCTAAGACATGGACAACAATCTGTGTTAAACAATCTGAATCATGTACAGTCTACTTCTGTTTCTGTTTTAATTTGAACTATTCAAATGCTGGTGTTGAGACCAAGTATGATTGACTTAAGAGGGGTATTCTGTTTTGGTTCTGCCTTCCCCCCCCCCACACACCTTCTTTCTTCTTCCCTTAGCCCCTCCATTCTTTGTTTTCTTTCCTTCTGTCTCCCCTCCCCACCCTAAGCCCATAAGTACTTGTTTTTTTACTGTGCAAAAATCCAAGATGCTGTCAAAACATGTAATTTGGCAGGAGTCCATTGGATGGACATCCTGTTTGTAGCTGAGTGCCCAGAAGGAAGAACATCAGAGTAACAGCAATTTAATGGATTCCTGATACTGTATTTGTGTATAATTGCTTGTGTCGTGCATAGGCAAAGGAGAGTTAGGGTGTTTGTTTTGGGGGGGTGGGGAAGTACTGTACGGTCAGTACTGGTATAGTGTGTCAACTCTGTTAACCAAGCAATACGGTCAGAATTTATTGGTGTTTCTCAGTGTTGTACTCCACCTTTGTGCTTGTGAATTCCATACAAGAAATAAGTGCCATCACCTACAAACAATTGGCAAACCAGGCGTCCTGCATTGAATTATTGAATTATAATGAGAAAAAAAGCAAAAGTCCTTGGCACTGGCTCGTTTATGTCTTCTCAAGTGCCTTTTTGTTGTATTGCTCCTCATTGCTTTATCATCAATTCCTTCTTTGTCTCTCCATCCTCCTCTCTCTCTCTCTCTCTCTCTCTCTCTCTCCCTCCCTCCCTCCCTCCTCTCCCTCTCCCTCTCCCCCTGCCTCCCTCCTTCCCTCCCTGTCTCTCTCTCTCTCTCTCTTCCTTGCCCTTTTTCTTGCTTAGCACCACTGACTAACAAGAAATTATATTTTGGCATAAGTAAAACCTTAAGAAGGCAAGGGCGAACAAAATCTTGGCAACTTGCAGCTAATTCCTTCTCTTCCTATTTTTCAATTCCATGTTGCTGAACCCCCTTTTTCTTAAGTTCTACAGTTTTGCTCCTGTCCTTCTATCTTTTATTGTTCTTTCATACAGAATGTATTTTCACATATAAGGCCTCTTCGTCTTTTGCTTTTCCCCTCTTTTGTCTCTGAATAGATTGTTACATAAGCATTTGCCATTGTCAAGGTAAGGAAAATGCAACTCTAGTTTGCTGGTAATGGCAAAAAAAGAAAGAGGATTTTGTTACATTTTTGTCTTTTCTTGTATTGCTGTATTTTAAGATAAGGGATATGTCTTAATGTTACCTTCCAGAGTTGATCTTTGGGTTTCTTTTTAGCACCATTAACTGACATTATCTTTTTTTTCTCTCTCCTTTAGTAAGCCATGAAGTAAGTCTTTTAATTCTGTCCAAGATGTTCATATAAATCGATGGCAATGAGAATTTGTTGTTGATGTTGAAGAGCAAAGAGTGTTTTTCCCATCCATATCCTAGATATCCAATTTAAGGGTAATTGTTTCTGCACAGGACTCATTCATGCTAATGTAGAGGCATACTAATATTGCTACAAGTAGTAATGCATTGACTTTGCTAATAATGGATTTGCTTTAAAAAAAATCATTGTATAACGTATCCTAAACTGGATTTAAAATGAGTGCTGTTAACATTCTAATGAGAAGGAATTGGGGGCCTTGTTCTCCTTCCATTCACTTAACAACAGTAGCCATGTTTTAAGAATTAAGTCAATCTCCAAAAGACACAGTTAACTCTTAAAGATCTTAAATCATAACAAGCATTCAGGGCACCATAAACTGATTTTGTCACATTGTTTTACGTGGTATTCAAATGCACCTTTGATTAAAAACAGCTGGTTTTTAAAAACCACACCAGAGCAAATGTTTAACAACTCTGCTCTTGTTGTAAATATGAGTTATCATCCAAAGAAGGTTTATTGAAGTAAAATATCTACCATGAAAAAAAAAATCACAGTGACAAAAGAGTATATGAATCAATTGTTTAGTTATCCAATTTACACTGTAATTGAATGCTCTACTAGTTAATTATCCCAAAGAGAAGATCAAATGCAAATAATTTTTACTGCACTTCTTTCATGTATATTTAGTTGCATCATGTATTATGGACTCTATGTCAATAATCACATAGGCATCTTAAGATCTGTGACAAAAGTGCATACAAACATTATTTAAGAGGGGCAGATTTCATTGCAAAAGCATGTACTTTCTAGAACTCAAAAAGTAACAGATACAATATTAATCTTGGTATGGAAAAAAAGGATTTTTAACAATTTGTGCACATATCAACTGCCTATAAATCAGACATCAGGTAATCCTCAACTTACGACCACAATTGAGCCAAAAATCTCTGTTGTTACATGAGACATTTGTTAAGTGAGTTTTGTCTCATTTTATGATCTTTCTTGCCATAGTTGTTAAGTGAATCACTGCAGTTGATAAGTTAGCAACATGGTTGTTAAGTGAATCTGGTTTCCCCATTGACTTTACTAGTCAGAAGGTCACCAAAGGTGATTACATGGCCTTGGGACACAGCAACGGTCATAAATATGAAACAGTTGCCAAGCATCTGAATTTTGATCACATGAGCATGGGGATGTTGCAAAGGCCAAAACTGTGAAAAACAGTCATAAGTCACATTTTTCAGTGCTGTTATAACTTTGAATGGCCACTAAATGAGTTGTTGTAAGTCGAGGACTACCTGTATTAGTCTATGTAACTCGGTATTGACTATTATAATGGGCAGCAATTTCCAGGATTTTTCAAATTAAGTCTCATCTTTCTTCATTCACTTGTATGAAATGTTTTTAAAACTAGATATGCTGGTGACTGAATTTACGTATGTAAAGATGTGCTCTAATATTGGTCTTTTATTACCATTCAATATCATCAATTCATTATTCAACTCTTCAGTTACTTTCAGTCTATTCTGTAAAAATCCTCTTTACTGAAGACCATTATATTTAGGCTGATACTGGATAATATAAAAGCTGCATCATTGATTCAAGCATGTGAATAGTCATATTATGCTACTTTAAAACAGCTGAAAAGCATACATGCTTTTGAACTATCCCTGTCACCATTCTTGAGCTGAGTACAATCCATACCATCACCGTGTTTACTTAACACAAACAAATGTGTTAGGCATTGTAGAGAACCCAAAGTAGGCATTTTCACTACATCAGAGGAACTAATGGAGAATTTGTGACTGCCCAAATGTTGGATTCCAATTTTCATTAACCTGAATTAATTAGACTAATGATGTTGTAGTGCAGGGGTGTCAAACTCAAGGCCCATGGGCCAAATCTGACCCATGGAATGTTTAAATCTGGCCTGTGGGGCCAACCTGGAAATAGCAAAGGACTGGTCTGCTGTGTCTCTGGCAACCAAAACACGGCACAGGGGCTGCGTGCGCCCCCCTGTGCCTTGTTTTGGCTGGCAGAGTGCTGCAGGAGGCCATACAGGCTGAAAACGGGGTATGGGGGGCACTCATGGCCCCCTGATGCCCCTTTTTGGCCAGTAATGTGCTGCAGAGGCATCCATCCTGTCTCCACTGCCCCCTGGCTGGCCCGCAGAGGAGAACTAAATGCTGATCTGGCCCTCAAAGAAATCCACTTTGACACCCCTGTTGTAGTGCAACTTTCAGATTACAACAGGTAACAGCTCTCACATTCTTAAATTAAAGGTACAGTCCTGTTAATCTTTATTCCCAATATGTCACACTGTATTGAGCAAGATTTAAGGAAAATACGGTCCAGTTGCATACTTATATGAAGAATGCAAGCACAAGCATTGTCTTCTGATAATATAAACATGATAGCATGAACAAGCCCTGCAAATAGCTTTTATTTTTTTCCCTCTAGCTAAAAGGAAAATCACATTCCTGGAACTCTAGGCTAATTTTAAATTATTTGACTTTGTTTAAGTGACTGTTGGTTAGTTGTTTTCTTGTCATTGGAATATATAAGTTTTGGTCACAATCCACCTGATATCACCACTGTGAATCCTCCATTAGTTTCAAAATGTGGTAGTTAGCTTAAGCCAACGAAGGTATGTAAGACAAAAGCGTAGCCCATTGCAAACTTTCATTTTGTAATTCCATCCTAATGCTTGCTCTCCATGCAAAGAAGAATCTGTGACCAGGCATCTGGTAATTGTAGTACTACAACATAATGGAAAACAAAGTTCAGAATGTGTGGTGTGTTTTTTTTTAGCACTGAGCGAATATGCCGGAGCAGATATGTGAACTTAGTCAGACTGCTAATAGTATAAGCAAAGTAAGGAAACCCCGGTGATGTAGCTGTTTAATCCTGGAGCAGAACACTGGGTTCTGATGTTGTCAAACAGAAATTGAATGAAAACTGCCCTTCAGCAAAAGAAAAAAAAAATGAGACTGCAACTTTAAATGAAAAAAAAATTCTTGCACTGAAAAATATATTTAAGAATTATATGTTTATAAAGTTATTAATTTGTAAAGGCAGTGTTACAAAATGTTCAGTTTATATTGTTTTAGATTGTTTCATAATTTTGAAAGTGTAAAATAACATATTTTTTCTTTATCAAAAAAAAACCTATAAAATTTCTTCTGTAGTAAAATGATTTCATTTTACTGGTATATGATTGCTTCATGTTTTGTATCATTATAAATTTTGTGCAAATTTTTTTACAGAAATTTTTTATTTTCTATGACAATATGACACTTTTAAATTGTTATTTCAAAATGAACAGCAAAGCCTTAACTTTAAATGACGTTTGTATTCTCGGACACTGAGTAGCATTAAAAAAAAAGGATTGAATTGTAATTTAAATTTGCAGACAATGACTACTACATTCCAAAGAAACAGTTGAATTAAACATTTTCATAAAATACCCATACATTCATGACTTTTATTATCCTTACAGCTCTGTCAATTTAAAAAAAAACCATTAACTTTAAGACATTCTTAAAGAAACACATTCTTTAAGAAACACAATTGTAATGCATATACTGCATATCCTAAACCAGCTGGCAATGAATATCATATTCAAAATTTACATTCAGGACTTCCAGAATATTCCATAAGATATTACAGGACTGTCATTAGTTATCAGATATTGAAGTCAAAATTCTTCATTGGAGCTCAGTTATATTGGGGGCTTTGCAGGGATAGCAGATACATTTTAAAAACATCTCTCATAAAATGTTTTCTATGAGAAAAAAACTTCTTCTTCCAAAATGGTTGCCATCATAGACATAATCACTCGGCAAATGTCTTACTTATGTTTTTGTTAAGCTTATGAGCATTTTCAAACAATGCAGCCACCCATGAATATATATTTGTGACTCGAAAAAATTATGATAAAGAAAAATGATGCTTCAGTCTGGCCCTTTAGTTTTCAGCCTTCTATTTATCTTTTAGGTTTTTTTAAAAAAATCTAAATTACCATTAGGCCAGGGAGCATGATGAATGACAATGAAGATTGGTAGCTACGTTGGTACCACACTGTCTAGTTCTGACCAGTTATGGATTAACCACTAAGAGAATCAATAACAGAAGTAGGACATCAAGAGAAGAAGAGTACCACAGAATTCTTATTCCTAGGTATCATGCCCCTAACTTATTTTGCTTTACCATCTTTGGTAGAGTGTTAAAAAAAAATTTTTTAAATATGATTAAAAATAGCTTTCAATAAAGTTTTGCATTTGCATTTTCCCTTTATAACAATTTTTATTAAAAATGCATTTAAACTGTTGAAAATTCGCATATTTTGTTGTTGTCCTGGTTATAGTAAATAATGTGTTAATATTGCTTACTGCTATTTAGTGTTAATAAAGTTTTTAAAACGGTATTTACTTATTTATATAGTTGTGGGGAATAGCCTGGAAAAAAACTGATTTTTTAAACTTTTATTTCACATTCAGTACTTCAGCACTTATTGAGTCTTAATATTTTGTCAGTCAAGCAATGGGAAGGCTGAGGGGGGTTATTGTTGGGCTGTGTTTTAAGGTATCAGTGGCTGTAATCCAACTTCGCCTTGATCTCTGAAAAACAACACCATCATAGCTATACATTCTTTGACTGGGCAGTCTAGATAAACAGTAGAATTGACAAGGAAAGAGGTAGCAGACTGACAAATGAAGAAAACAGTGGCCACATAGCACGAGAGCAACATGGTCAAAATCAGGTCAGATCCTAATGAGTTTTTCTTTATAAATTTTATCAGATTCACGTGGAATCTAACTGGCCCTATTAAACATGGAACTGCAGTATTATTCTCTGGTCACTACTCCACAGAAAATGGATGAACTGATTCTCCAACAAAGAAGTTGGGTTTGGCCCTCATGAAAACTGTGAAGTATAACTGCCAAGCGAGTTCAAATCAAAGACTATTTCTTTAAGTACTTTATCTCTACAGTTAAAATCAGAAACCTATGGAAGGACTCAATTCTAATAGCAGTCTTGCCTCGAGTGCCAGCTAAAGATTATATGGAATCATCATCTGCCATCCAATCATATGCATTTTTAGAATGATTCTGGAGGAGAAGCAACAGTGTCCCCTTAGTTATGGCACCTTAGCCTATGCCTATTCAGTCTTAGCCTAAAGCTGACCATTTTTCACTTTCAACAAAGACATAAACACTACCATGTAATATAATACCACATCCACATGGGATTGATCAATTGTGCAAGAACTATATTCAACGTTGGATTAAAACTGGGGAGACCCAAATTCAGCTTTAATTCAACCATAGAACTTCTAAATCAGGGGTGTCAAACTCAAGACCTGTGGGCCAGATCCAGCTTGTGAGGTGCTTAGATCTGGCCCATGGGGCCGGCCTGGAAATAGCAAAAGATTGACCCACGGTGCCTATGCTAGAACACACACCCCTCAGCCTGTTTTGGGCCTGGACAGCCTCCTGCAGCATTCTGCCGACCAAAACAGGCCACGGGGGCTTCCAGAGGCCTTCCCTGGTTGTTGCAGGCTGAAATGAAGCCTCAATGGGCTGCCTCGATGGGCTCCGTTCGGGCCTCCGGAAACTTCCCCCAGCCTGTTACAGGCCAAAATGGAGCCTCCATGGGCCGCATCTGGTCCTCCCCACCCCATCTCCCATGGCTTTACTGTACTTATTTTTCAAAGAGCTCCAGAAGAGGCTGACCCACATGGCAGAGAAGCCGAAGTCATTTTTTCAGAAGCCCACGAAGATGTAAGAACTGAAATGTAAGGAAAACAGCTTTCCCCATCTGAATAAAAGACCGGCTTTTCCACCATGAGGGCCTGCAGGCTTAGTTTGGGCCCAGTCTAGCCGGCAATGAGCAGCCTTCTGCTTGCTGTTGACTGGCTAGTTCGAATGAGCAGCTTCAGGAATTGGGGCGTGACACACAATCAACAAGGGCTTGCAATTCAGCCTGATGAGACAAAAGAAACAAGCCCCTTGTTGATTGCCAGCTGCTGCTACCTCAATCCCTGAAGCAGGAGGTCTTTTCTACAACCAGAGGCCTGCTGGCCACATGGCCCCAATTGAAGTCTTTTACTCAGAAGCTGGCAAAAATGTTTTCCTTAGATTTCACATTCTTACAGCTTTGCCATCATCTGAATAAAACACTTTGGCTTCTCTGCCAATGGCTTGGCCTTTTCTGGAGGTCTGGAGATTTTCAAAAAGTAAGTAATCCATGGGAAATGGGATGGGGAGAAGTAAGTGGAATCTGGGATGCTAGCAAAGCAGGCCCAGTCTGTGGGGACCTGGTGGGGCAGGATGGGAGGGAAGCAATTGTGGGGCCCCAGGGGAGCATGAGGTATTACAGTGGATTGGGGGAGACCTTGGATGGCCTGCTGCAACACTAGGCCATGCAGCCTCTTCCCCTCTCTGAGCTACTTCATGTCCATTTAATGACCTGCACATTCAATTAACAAATGCATTGGGGAAAGCAGGGAGTGATCACATTCATTTAACATAATTCAGTCAAATGAATCCTCAGATTACAAATGTAATTAGCAGGCTCTATTACATTCGTAACTCAAGGATTTCCTATATAATGAGTCTCGGAAGTCCTGCCTTAGCACTTGACCACCACAGGTGCCTCCCCACATCAGTTCCTTGCCACTCTCACCATGACCACACTCCCAGGCATGCCCCACCCCCAGCCTCTGAGGTCAAACACAATCTTGATGCAGCCCTCAATGAAATTGAGTTTGATACCCCTGTTCTAGATAACTTAGATTAAATATAAACCTGTTTTACTGAATTTTGGTGAAAACAAAATGGGAAGACAAACAATCCTATTTGCTGGTTGGAACTCCTTGAAAGAAACTTGGGACAATAAAAATATCAATATCTTAAGTACCCTCTAAGGGTAAATTGAAAAGTAGACGCTCAGTACACTGAGGCTTTTTAGAATGAGAGTGAGAATGGAAGAAAAACACAATGTTAGGAGATTTGTCAGTATCTGTACTGGCTAGGAAAATTGGGGAATGTAGACATAAGATTATCAGATTAAACAAAGCACATAATGGTTCCCATGCCCTATATGTCTAGTTGCACTACATAATATATACATTAGTTTAATAAATAAATGTGAAAATTCTACTAAAACATTATCTCTCCCACAATTGAAGTGAATGGAAATGTTATGTAGGAACAATTCAATGTTGAGAATAAAATATCCAGATAAATCTAAATAGAAGTAGTCCTCATTTAGCAACCTCAATTAGAACTGGCAACTTAATTATTAAGTGAATCAGCTGCTAAGTGAAACCACAACTTATCCTTATAATCTTACTTTAGCTTTCCTTTCTTTACAGACCTACAAAACCATAAAAGTGAGGATACCTTATAATATTACTTTTTTTATTATCATTGCGAACAGACACTAAATAGGGAAGTTGTTAAATGAGGACTAATTTAAGGACCCTTATGGATTCACCTACTATAGCTATAATGAAAAAAAATCGATGTTTGGTATTCTCTAAAGCAGAGTTTTTCAATCTTGGTAATTTTCAGATGCATGGACTTCAACTGGCTGGAGAATTCTGGGAATCTACACATCTTGTTGCCAAGATGAAAAACACTGCCCTAGACAGAGAACTAAAAAAATAGACTTCACTATAATTAACTAATATAGATAACCAGAGGCATCAAGTTCAACAGCTAGAGAAAAAGTAAGCTTTAACTAATCACAGCTCCATAAATTGACAAATTATTAGGTACAATGAGAGAATCTTGCAATTATCACTGTAAAATGAATTTGCTGGATTGCTAGAATCAAAAATCATTCATATGAATAAATTTAGCACTTACAAGATAATCAAAACTAAGCTTAGAATTGTGAGATGAAGGGAAAATGAAGATTTTTTTTTAAATGGGAAATTAGAAATCAGAAAGATGAGAAAGATTTGATAAATTAACATCCAAAATGACAAAGCTAGCAGGAAAGTCAAAATTATAAGCTTAATGCTAAAGGGATAATCTATTATTTAATTGAATTTTAATTTTTGAGGAGTAAAGCTCGTCATGCCAGCCTTTTAAATAGCATGAACTACTCTAAAGGAAATCAGAGTTTTCCATATGTTTCTTTTTTGGAATATTGTAGAAGAAATATTAACATTAAATAAGAGGATATTAACTTAAATACAGAGCATTTAAATAAAGGAAAAGAAAGAATTGTGGAAAATAAAGAGGCATAGCTTCACAGCAAATAATTTTTGGTTCACAACATCAGAAGGCAAAACAAGAGGCAGTGGATGGAAACCAAATAAAAAGAGAAGCAACCTAGAAGTAAGGAGAAATTTCCTGATAGTAAGAACCATTAAGCAGTGAAACAACTTGTCTTCAGAAGATGTGGGTGTTCCAATATTGGAGGCTTTTAAGAATAGACTGGACAGCCATTTGTCTAAAATATTATAGGATCTCCTGCTTGAGCAGGGGGTTGGATAGAAGATCTCCAAAGTCGCTCCCAACTCTGTTATTCTGTTATAGTTATTTTTCTGAGAGATTTCTTGGAACAAGTAGAGGTGTGTGCCAAGTATTCCTTTTATTCCAAAATGTGGAGCTGCCATGTCACAGGAATGCACAACAGCATTCCATCCCACATTTGGCTAAGCTTCCTTAACTATGTGTGTGTTAGAAAATATGACTTAGGGAAAACTTACATCTCAACAGCTTCCAACATCTGATGCATGTTCTAGGCATCTATGTGCTCAGACATTAATATTGTCACCACCATCAGCAAGCTGCAGATGGTGCAACTGTCACATCAATAGAATGAATGAGCTGAAATATTTGGCTTGGTTTTAATTGTTGAGAGTTTGACAGGAGGCTTCTTGTTAGCTTATTTTACGGCAAATAAGAATTTTATACTCTCCAGAGGCTTAAAATCTCTATTGTTAGCTTATCTGACAGGAAAAACAAAGACCAAAACATTCACCAGCACCCAATTACCATTTTCCTGTTGAATTTAGAACAGAATATCAATACAGTACAAAGATTTTGTTCTTCTATAGTGGTTTCTGTTGATATTGTTATCAGCATCATATCCCAATTTTTTGCCTGTGAGGTAGCAATTGATATATAAAAAGTAGAATCTTTCACTTAGTATAACTTGTCAAGAACAATTAACAGAAAAAAAATCACTGCTTTAAGCATTTGACAAAGTGAATAGAAACAACAGTCAATGACAAAGCCAGAACTTTCTACAATCATTGGGTCTCCAGCAAATACTACTTAAGAGTTATTTGTACCGCTGTCATAGTTCCAAAGGATACTTCCAAGAGTTCAAAAACAACTTACAAGTAATAAAAAGTTCTTTAGTAAATCCTACAATTCCCTGATAAATAATTCAGTTCATCCAAAA